CGGTCGGGATTGCGTTGAATAAGGACCTCTAGGCGGGTTCATACTATTATCACATACTACCCGAGTGGAGCTTGCCTGCATAGGCTTCGCGTCATGGGATGAGCTCTTGAGTGACATGGTAGTCCGTTACGATATAGCCGGCGTTGATGCTAGTGTTAATGCGGACCCCGCTGGCGAATGGAAGGGGCTAGCTATAGAGGAAGTTGTAGACTCCGCAGAAGTAAGGCTTGGGCTCCGACGAGCTTTATAGTATGCTAGCACCAAGACGGAAGACAGTGCACTAACGCCTCCGTCGTTATTATCGTAATAAAACGACCTAATATAATCGCCTAGCAGTCCTGTTAGCGTTAATGAATATCTTAGTATAGGGGATAATTCCGCCACGTACTAATACTGTCTGTGCTTCTAGACTACTCTTTAGCGGATGCCGCTAATGCCTCAATTAATGGAAAGGTATCGCTTAGCTGTGCGTTCCCGAAGCTGCTAGCGACACTTGCTAAATGGTTTATTATTAGTGCCGCATCATTTAAGGTAAAGATTGCATCGCCGCTAGCTTAGGGAGAAGGCGAAGTATATGCGGTATTTATAGCGCCTACTAGGTAAACTGTATTAGCTGCTGCGTCTTAATTGTTCTTAGTTCTAATCCATTTATCATAAGCAGAGCATTAACTGTAGTGTAGTTTTATAGTTTTATAGTTTTTGTAGTTTCGAATATAAAAAATCATATTAAATCTCATAAAATACTTATAGAATTATAAGTTTTACGAATAACTAGTATAAATTCTATATTATAAGCTAATATTAAAAAAAGTGGGTCCTTATATAATATTATAAGCTTAAAACTTAAAAAACTACATTTTATAGTTTTTATAGTGTAGTGTAGTGTAGTGTGTTTTTAGTATTATAATTTAAGTATTTTATTAGATTTATTATTAATTATTTAAGCTTTTTTGAAAATTGAAAATGTAGTTTTCTTGTTAATGCTCTGATTATAAGTTAATATGCTAGGGCTTTCCTAATAATAGAGAGGCTTTATACTACCCTTAAAAGCAATAATCGGTAAGGTTAACTAATGCGATAAACGGGTGTAACTTTTCTGTGAGCTGTTCTCATAGCTGTTATCCTCCACGTCCGATTCCTTATCCAAGAAAATTAATATAATCTCATTTATTTTCGTTGCGTTATCGCTAAGTATATAACCAGAGCATTAACTGTAGTATAGTTTTATAGTTTTATAGTTTTTATAGTTTCTAATATAATATATTATATTAATTCTAATAAAAGTATCTTAATA